AAAAGGGACCGATCGGAGTCACCGCGACAATAATTCATAATCGCGACAGCGGGTATATGTTGGTATATTTTTAGAGAAATAAAAACGTGTTTTGTAATTCACGCAGTTGTCCAATTGGGTATATATTGAGTTTATGTTGGTTTATATTCAGTATATGTTGTAATGAAAAACATGTCTTCCATAAAAAATTATGTCTTCGTGTTTTTAAGTTTATAAACATATTATAACAAATTACTTATGTTTATGTCTTGAATGGACAGTATATATTGAGTTTATATTTAGTATATATTGTTTATACACACAACATATACTGAATATATACTAACATAAACGCAACATATACGCAAACAACTTTTTAGGCATATCGATACGTAATTGATGAGAAGTAATTGATGAGAAGTTATTATGTAAATAGGAAACCAACTTTTTAGGCATATATGCAAATAAATATAACAAATTTAGTTAATTTGTAAATAATTATATAGGGGATGTAATTATGTAATATTTTCAAATTGTTTAAGTGAAAAATGTAATTTCCTCTTAAAAGTTTTGACCAACTAAAGTAAAATCTGATAAACATACCACAATGTCCAGTCTGTTAAAAATCGATGTTAACTTACTGCCTCATCAAAAATAAATATTCCATTTTTACAGAGTACAAGGCGAGCAAATAGTCAAATACATTAGCTTCAAGAAAAGAATGTTCAGTCTATAACAAAAAATCAAGAAAGTTTTGATTTGCTCGATGCTTGACCATCTGAATAACAAACAGACATCAACACAATAATCATAGCAGCAACAATTGCAAATCCGAAAGTAACAGCAGATACAAGCCCTGCATGTTCATGGGACCCACACGGTATTTCCCAAATAACGGTATTCTGCAATATATCGCTAATAGGCAAGGGCATACAGTTCATATCAGGCACCTTAAGCTTAAGGCCGCAGCAGATAAACACATCGGGTTGCCCAAACTCGACCCTCGAGAAGCCATGTCCTAAAGGCTTGAACACCAAGAAAAAAATAAAATGACAAAAAAGAAGGAAAACGGAATTGACGTAAATTTATATAAAAAGATTCATATGCCCAGAAAAAAAACTAGCTTTCCAATGTCCGATGAACAAGAACTGAGGAGTTTGGGAACAATCTTATCCAGCAGTGGATGAAAATCGGACTTAGGTTTCTAAAGGCAGCCAAAAATCGAGAATAAATGGGACTACTAAGCGATTTCAGCATGCTTGCATGAAAGTCCATATTCGCGAACACCTTATTACCTGATATCGTGCATGTAATGGAAGTTCCAGGTTGACTTCCGAATCATCATCCTCGGTTCTCGAAAGTACTTTAGAAGTTATGCTCATGTGTATCTCGACAAGCGATTGATTTGAGCGAAATGCGGGTAGTTCTAAATTTGTGTCACCAAATACGGCTACATCAGTGAACACTGCAAAGTAGAAAAGGCACAAAAAAAGGCGATTAATGTATTCTCAATCTTGAGGGCATGCTAATAAAACTGGCTTTTAGAACATTTAGAATTGTAGTGTTATGTATTCATATACCACCACGTTTGACAAGATGCTGCAGCTCAAAAGGATCTGAAAAGACTCCGGAAGGCAGTCTTTCGATGATTATGACTTCACAAGACTGTGCAGTCAGATGGGATTTAAGTTTATGTTGCAACTTAAATCTGATAGAAGTGGACAAATGACGATGAGAGCCTTCACCAATTACATGTCGATGTAGACTGGACAGTTTGGGCAAAATGTAGTTTTCATCTTCAATTGCGTGAGACAATCCAAGTGGAATTTCATTTGCTATGAAACTGTCGAATTCTTCTTTTACCAAAGTACCATATTGTTCGAAATAACTCTTTGCTATGTATCGGTCAAGGTAATCAGTCTGTCCCTGCAAATGTAAATTGCAGAATCCAACTTGAGTTTTCAGAATATAAAACGGGAATACAAAATCACCAACAACTTTTATTTGCTTGAAAATTAAAATGTTCAACCTCAAAATGAAAAAAGGGAAAAGAAGAACAAAAATGTTCCCACTCACATAACTTGTAGATCTAATGGTGATAAGAAACATAAGTACAAGTCGTATCATGAAATTTCCTATTCGAAATTCCATTTGCACGTCGACCTGAAACATGGTAAAAATCATGGATTACTAAGTGATTCTGAGAATTAATTGCTAAACTAGAAAAAAAAAAAAAATATATGTCACGAACTCTTCTAGCAGATATAACCCTTTCAAAGTTCGATTAAAAAAGAAAAAACTACCACTTGATCTAGTTTGTGGAGGTACATATTCGCAGGAAGAATTAAATCAAGGTTTACCATGAGCAAATAATAAAATGAAGGATTTAATAAGGAATTGGAAAAATCGAAAGAGATAAATGGAGAGGAAGCAAGGGATTACATGCTGCACACAAACAAATGATCATTACAGTGCAGTTTTGCATGTTGATATTTTCAACAAACTTTACTACACAAACTAGAATATCAAACAGATTCTTGGGGGCATGAAAAGTAAGACACGGGTTATAACTCTTACAAAGACTCCAAGAAGCAATTTGTATGTTACAATATCGAAATGAAAACCGCACAAAACCGAAAGCAAAGCTGCTGCAAAACTGGACAACAGCACGGATTCGTGAGCTTTGCCTTTTAAGCGTAAATTTCACAACATAGATTCTTGGGTTATTGTTTCACCAACAGACAGAAAGACACCGAGCTACTAGTTTTGTGAATACCCCTAAACTAGCAACTATGTTAAGAAGGTAAAAACTGCCTCACGGCCTATAACATCCAATGGAACTCCCCAAACAACCGTACATAAAGTTACTAAAGTGTCAACCGAGGAACTATCAATCCCTCAAATCAATCTAAGCTACTCTCAGCCTAGGCCATTAAAACCACCCACCTTAAATATATATCCAATATTGAAGTATTAATCAGCTGTCACAACCACTAATCAAGAATTATAACATCTTATTTCAAGCATTAAAAAAAAAAAAGAGATCTCTCGATTCAACAAAGAAAACCCATGTGTTCAAAATTAAAAATTTCTGCACACACGTGAAGGTGCCCTAGTCAGGAGGAGGATCGACGAATACACCAAATTTGGAATTCTCGGAGGCTCAGAATGAGCTAGCCGGAACACTGCGGCCAGCGGCTGGGGTCTGCAGGCCGAAGCTAAAACCCAAAATGTAAACAAGATCAAAATGGAAAAATTACAGTCTGTGATTGCCAAGGTCGCGATGAAAGGGAAGGACTGAGGGAGTGTTTCTAGAATTCTAGCTTCCAAAGCAAGCCTCTAATGGGCCTATATCTTATACAGGCTTTGGTTTTTGAGTATTTAGGAATTGGGCTGAAATTTGGGTCACGTGTTGGACAAATTTTTGGGTAAAAAATTGGATACAATTTTTTTTAAAAAAAATATATATATAATGTTTAGCTTCGAATATTAAAGTTTATTTGTACACTAGTACAATTGTGGGTGTTGAATTAAAAAACATATATAAGAAATATTAAATTTGTTCTGATTGATAATATGTGAATATTGAAGAGAAAGATTGAGCAATAAATTAATATGATTGATTTAAGTGAAGATATATAGTAGAAAAAAATGAATAAAAAGAAAAGTATCATAGTAACTATGGAAAAAAACATGGAATAAAATAAATATTGATTGCTTCAATAAAGAATAATATTTAATGTATTAATTATGGAAATAAACATGCCTAATTGGCATTTGACATGACATCCGAGTCTAATTATGTATCAATTCAATGCATTAGATTATATCAAATAGGATATCGAAGAATGCAAGTCTGCCATTTAGGCCCAGCACATTCGAGAATCTATATATATTGAAACAGGTTGTTGGAATTATTTATAATACTAACTTTAACTTTGTAATTAAATAGGTTGACTTACTATTAAAGGAAATATGACAAAAAGTACTTTAATATTTTTGAAAAAAAAAATTATACCCACCTATTGCAAATCATGCAATTCGGTAAACAACATGACTTTCTACATAAATAAAATGATATCAATTCTAAAAGTTATTCTGTGATAATTATCACAATAAAAATGATTCTTAATATTAATTACGAATCAATGAAATTTCTTATTCTTTTGGTAACAAAATCATATTCCGTGAATTTCTACAATGTCTTAGAAAAAGGACTATTAAATAGATTTTGTTTGTAAATAAAAGGGGGAAAGTGTAAATAATCAGATATGTAAAACAGGTGGGACAAGTTTAAGCTTCAATGTTCTTAACAACATCTCAATCTATTTATCATAGAGCAATTGTGTGGAGCAGATTTGTTTACAAGTGAGATCAATCCTATAATTCTTACTTTCTAGAAAATCTCAATCCATCTAACAATCACATTAAGGGGGTTCTAGCAATCATAGGCTCCAAAANCCCAAAAAAAAAAAAAACTAATAACAATATTAAAATAGAAACAAAATTCTAATCTTCTTGCTTGATGAAAACAATTTCTAGCAACACCAAATTCTAATTCCTCTTAACTTGTAAGAATCTAGAAGCATAGGCTGAAAAGAAAGTTCATATTCTAAGCCTGGTTTGATCTTTTCACCAATGAAGCAGTCTACAACTTATTTACTGTATTGCTCCATGAATTATATCACCTCCTAACATCTAATTACAAGCACTGCCATGTTAGCAGTTCCAGACAAGATGAATTTTTTCAGAAAAGTGATATCCAGTACAGAACTAAGGTCAAAAACTTTGTAAAGACTCAAAGTTTATGAATTTAGGTAAGTTTCTATTGTCATTGAAAGGCGGCGGCCACCATATATGCAAACTAAACTACCACCAATATTACATCTCAACCACCACAAAATCTGCATTTCCCATCAGACGACACAACAAATCACCAGCACCACAGCACTTAAGTCCCATCCAATAAATAAAATAACATCAAATTAACAACAAATTAAACCCAATTAACCTTCAACAAACAGCAAATTAATAAAAAAGATTGCATTTTTATTTAATCCCTTTTGCTTTTTTACCTGGACAATGCCCAAGAACGAGCTCGACCACCCGTATTTGGCGGCGAATGTGAGCGCCTGAGCTCACTGAAGTTTTTAAGAACCGAATGCCGAGCGCTAGAGTTGGTGGGGTTAAATCGGAAACTTCGTGAAGTTCTAGCGACTCAACCTCTCGCACAATCAACTGAAAGAGAAAATCCCGATNCAAAAAAAAAAAAAAAACTGAAAGAGAAAATCCCGGTCTTCCTCCGGAGCCTATCTAACCTCCAGAAGATCGATCTCTCCGAAAATTCGGAGGTCGCAGGTATCGTGGTGGCGATCGTCTTCACGCCGACCTTGATCTGCTTGTTCCTGATGCCGTGAAGAAAAACCGAGAAGATGAGCAATGGATGGGTGCAGGTGGGATTCGCGGATGGATATGCGTGCGTGTGTTTGTGCCCTCAGTTTATTACTTAATTTTTAATTTAATCAACTATATAGAACGGATGTAGTATAGATGACGGGCATTAGGGCATTATAACAAGAGGATGGTTAATAAAACCTACTTTTACAGTTTAACTACTAAAATATGAGGTTTAAGGTTTATAAATGTAAATCATGTTTACATTCTTAAACCTTACATAAATCTCAATAAAAAAATATTAAAAGTGCAAAAAGTGAAATTGTAATGTAAAATATTAATAAAAATATAAGAATATAATATTAAGTGAGAAACATGTGGGACATAAAAAAGAAGTTTATAAATTTTATTGTTATTGGAGGTTTATGTACGTAGGAATAAAAATGAGGTTTTGAATGATGTGACATGTTGGAAAGTGTAAAAAGAGATTTATGGAGAATTAATGTTAAAGACGCTCTTAATTGCCCGTTCTACATACTCTCTTTAATTCATAATAAGTGTCGTTTTGAGAAGTTTCACACTCATTAAGAATTTTTTTTGTGCCAATAATAACCTTCTTTAATGAAGATAGAGATGGATATTTTGAAAAAAGAAGAAGTGTAAGACATAGTTTATTTATTAGTTAAATGAGGGTAATAATGGAAAAATATGTACAAAAAATTCAAAACGTCATTTATTTTGTTAATAGTTGATAAAACCAAAATGACATTTAAAAAGAATAGGAGATAGTACTAAATGTCATCTACTTTTTTAAACAATTTTATTACAAAAATATCACCGCTCATCTTTCTAGAATGGGTGTTTGTGAGTCGTTCTAAAAACTTGTCTTCTATTGTATTTTTTCTACTATGTAAATCAATAGATTTGGAAAAAAAAAAATCACTTATAATAGACACTATTATGACATATAAAAAAAATAAATTAAAAATGACGAATTAAAAACAATTAAATTTTTTAACTTCAAAACAATATATGTTACAGTCCTTTTCAATTAAGTGTTGCTTATAATATTTGTCAAAAAATTTTAAATTTAGCTATTACGGATTCTCGATCTCTTAGGGGCTGGTGGAGAGTTTCGCGAGAGGAGAGGAAAATTTGCTTTAGAAGTGATCGGCGGGTCGACCCCGGGATCGACGGTCGCCGTGATGGGTTTTGGGGCGTTGAGAGCTGTTTCGGTGATTGGCGTTTCTTTGTTAACAATATAGTGTTTGAAAGAATGGTTCCATAGAGATTTGCTTAAAATCCGGCTGGGATCCTTCACGAACTGGAGCAGCCTCTTGTTGTGTATATTTTTACCGGAGTAGAATCGAAAGATTCGAACACCGGGTCGTATCGCAAACAAGGTTAGCCGGAATATTCTGTACGTTTATTCAAGCACAAATAAAAGAAATAAAACTCCTAAACACTTTATTCAGAGATTGGTTTTGGTTTAAATTATCAACTACTACGAAAATTTAAATAAAGCAATAGAATTATCAAAGCAACAACGATGAACAAATAGGATTTGAGAAGTTATGGAGTCGGGGTTTCCGTTTTGGTTCAGATTGCAATTAATGGGCAAAAGATTGTTCAGTTAAGTGATTTGAATAACCTGCACGTTCGAGTACTCATCCTCAATAACTCTTCGTAACAAGAGAACAAACTAGAACAACAAATTTAACAAGTCATTTAACTCCTAAGCAATACAGTTACGAATAAGCCTAGCTTATGCGAGCCTATTTTGACCGACTCCTCCCCTTTTGGTTCCGAGAGTCGATTGAAGTAGACTAGAGGGTGGTTAATCAATTAGTCCATTAAGAATTAAAAACATCAAGCACGAATTTATCGAATTCAATCCAAACAATTGCAAGTTGAAGTGTCACCCTTCAACAATTCTCAAAACTCAAGTTAAATAATTGAAAAACCCTAATAAAAGATTAACTCGCACAAATTGAACAATCTTAAGCCTGACAATCACAAACGATTCCAAAACATCAATCTCCTATCCCTAGCATACGAATTTAGCCGATCATAATTGAATCATCAACACAAACAATCATATCAATCAAAGAATCCATAATCAATAATTAAGTGAAGAGGAACCCTTACAATTGATAAAATTCCAAGGTTGAATTTGATAAACAAGCTTAAATTCAAAATAAGGAAGAAATCCAAGTGCAAATCCAAGTTCGACGTTGAAAATTATGAAGGAAAGATGAAAAGCGAGTAAAAGGAAGAGAGTAGGGTTTGTTTCTGTGTTATGTACGAGATAATCCTCTTTGTCAAAGGCCCGATCACTTATTTATATTAACAGCAGGTCTCTGCGTGGAGGATATGGCAGCACAACGTGAGGCACCATTCTGCCGCGGCACGGCGCTTCAACACGGCGCGGGAGAGGATCTTGCCCCGGCGCGAGGCTCTTTCACGGCGCGAAGCTGCGCGTCCTGGGCGCAGATGACACGACGCGGGGGCTGGCACGGCGCGGCAGGTGCTGGTGTCGGGATGCGGAAGGTAGCGCGAGAGCGGCAGGGTGAAGTGTTGAGTTATCTGTCCATCTTGTGGCAGCGACGTGGCGCGGCACGAGTGCGGAGAGCTGACTGGCGCGACACGGCACCTGGGAGTCTCGTGGGTCTATGTCGCACGACTTTACATTTTGGACTCGTATACGCTCGTCTGGACTCGGAATCTGATTCCGTTTTCTCCTGTGTGATGCCAACGAACTCTTCTATATGATCACGCTTGCCCAACTAATATTTCCCTGAAATCCTGTTCTCCCGAGACTTCCAACCTGCACACCAACGATGACGAAAAAAATAGAAAACGACCGAAAAACACAAGAAAGACAAGAAGAGAATAAAATGAACTAAAACTCATCCAAACGACCTAAACTGGGGGAAAAAGAAAGACAAAAAGATAACGAAAAATGCAACAAAAAATGAGACAAACACCTCTTTGCAATCATAGTTTGGCGATCGTGGAACTGGAGAAACGAACATGTTTTCAACCAGAAAACTTGGAGCTGTGAGGCACGTCGATTGGAGGTGTTGTATCGTGTGGACACATATACTCATTCTCTTGCGACCCTTACTAAAGTAGGGGATGAATCGAAGCATTCTGATATTAGATTGATTCATTAGTCTCTGCCGAATCCAGGGTGGATCAAAATAAATAAGGATGGTGCTTTTGATACTTCCACCGGATTGAGGAGTGTTAGAGGGATCTTGATGAGCTCGGAAGGTGGTTAGCGGGTTTCATCATGCATAATGGGTTTTGTACAATTACGGGTGCAGAATTGTGGGGCCATTTCATCGTCAAGTTATCGCGGAAGTCGATAGCCAATATGTGGTGAACATGATCCTTGACACCGAGAATAATTTTGGAGCCCAAGAAGCGTTAGTCACGGCTATTCGTGGCTTAGGCTCAAAGGGAATGGAGCATTACAATACGACATGTGCATAGAGAAACCAACTTTGCGGCTGACTATTTGGCAAGCTTAGCGACTGACGCTCCATTCGGATTTGAGTTATTGACTTCCCCTCCCCCTGGCATGAGAGCTTAGCTCGAGCACAATATTATCGGGTCTCTTATCCTCGTCAAGTTATAGTTTAATCTTCAGGCATTCGGCCTCCTTCATTTAATATAAAAAAAAAAGGATCAATTTTTTCTTACAAAAAATACCACATACACATAATAGTTCTATTTGAGACACTCCAAGTTACAACGAAAAATAGAGACAAACAAACACATACCCAACTAAGAACAAAAAATCACATGCAGACAAAGAAGAAATTTAATTTTGGAGCTTTTCTTCTCGGTGACATTACTTATGTCGTGATCATGGGTCTTACAATAATCCCTTTCATAATACGTAGTGACATGTTAGTCCAGTTTGATGTTATTGTAGTATTTTAATAGTTCATTGGTTAGACTATTTCGAGGTTACTGTAGTATTTTAATAGTTCATTGGTTAGACTAGTGAATGAATCGAGTGGACATTTGTCGATTTTATTTCTTTTTTTGAATATGTGTAGTATTTTAAATAATAAATTATATATAAAAGTAACTTATTAGAGATTTAACCACTAAACATACAAATGCTTAAATTATAAGTGGCATAATTATCTAATGTATTTAAAGATTTATTTTATTTATATTAAATATATATTTTAAAAGAATATAACTACTTTTTTTAATATCAAATTGATATGGTCCGTAAATTTTTGATCAATTCTGAGCGAATCGCTGATAATCGTTTCATTTCAGTGAACAATAATAATTTAGGTCCAACCATTTGGACCGGTCCAATCTGTCCAAAACTAAATTTTAAATATTTTATCAGTACAAAAATAAATAATTATGTGATCATGAATAATTGCAAAACTATAAATAAAACTATTAGAATTGGTGTGATGCATAAAAAATAATAATTAAAATGATAACAAATAACTTTTTTTATAAAAAATATACGATAATACAATTTTATTTTTATATTATTATATTGGTAAAAGGAAAAAAGAAATCAACAGATTTTTATTGAAAAAATATTTTGATTTGTTTGAATTTTTTGGTTTGGTACGATTAATTTTAAAAAAGTGGTATGGTTAGTTGTTAATGTGATTTTGAGTTTATATTAAAATAATATTCAAACTAAATTAATTTAAATTGATTTAATATAAAAATAGGAGAGAGATGATGTGGAGTGATGGTTTGTTAAAGTTACGTGAGTAAATGAATAGTGAATTTAAGTTGATGTAATGTGTAAGAATGATTAAGTTGTATTATTCAATTATATTGATAATATTGAAAGTAGTAGGGTTGAATTAAATTTGAGTTATAAAAAGTGATTGATTAAAAATGATTTGAGTTTTTTTTTTTAGAAAAAAATAATTGTATCTAAGCATCCCTTTACAACTTTAATAACTTTAATAATACTCACTACAAGACAATGATGAAATATCAACGGAAATATATTCAAATAGAATTCTAACGACAATTTCAATAGATATTTCAATGCTATTATTTCGTTGGAATTATTCTAACAGAAATTCCAACAAAAGTATTCTGTTGGAATGAATTTTTCTTTGGAATTTTCGTTGGATTTTGATAATTCCAATTTGGTGGAAATAAAAATTCCAACGAAAATTCCTACGGTAATAAACCATTGGAAATATAACCGTTGGAATTATTAAATTTCATATAAAATTCCAATGAAAAATACATTCCAACGGAATATTTTCGTTGGAATCATTTCAAAAGAAACTATACCATTGCAATGAAATTTTCATTGAAATATATTACCATAGTAATTTCTATTGAAATATAGCAATTTTTTATAGCTGAGTACAACACAACTTTTTATTAATAAATACAAAAGACAGATTAGTCCTTGACACTTTCATCGGCCACAACGTAGGACTAAACACATCACATAATTATTATAAAAAAAAAAAAAAAATAGAAAAGGACACATCGGTCCTTTTCGCGGACCCAATTGATTCTGTTCCCAACTTTCCATACCTTATTCGTCTTCTCATTGGTGCAAAACGACGTTTAAGAATTAAAACCAACGTTAATCTCTGCAAGACAAGACAAAAGGCTCCGGTGAGCGTGCGCCACACGCATCTCTCAGCACCGTTGAAATCGAACAATTGAACGAACCTGCTTTTTATCTTGAGTTTGGTAGGTTCAACATCATTTCTTGTATTGGGGTTAAACTGTAACAAATAACAATGACGCGCTAACCTCACTCCCTTAACTACAGTTAAAAGTTTGCTAAGCGACAAAAGGGTATTTTGCAGCTCACTGTTTTTGCNCAAAAGTGGGAATCTATTGGTGATTTCAAACCACTTTCTGGAAGCTGCTTCAAAGGTAAGCGCTTTTATTCGCCTCAGTGATTATTGGCTTTGATAGTACTAATTGTGGCAACACTGTGTGGGTTGCTTTTGTGATGATGTCTTCACTTTTTGTTTCTAATTCATGAATTTAATTGCCACTTTATGCAATCTCCACTGGCAATAGTGCTTGGTTTGCTGGAAAAATTCTGGCTCTTCATTTTCAAGCACCTGTTATTTATTGCGGTTGATGGGTTTAGTGTGTGATTCATTTAATGTCACTGCTGTTAGAACCTAAGATTTTTTTCTCTGCACTCATCATTTTTTCTTTTCCTTCTGGAGAAAAGCCAGAATAGAGTGCTTGATATTTTTCTTGTGGGACTTGGGAGAACTTTTTGCTATGTAGCTTGTGCTTGATTGTTTATTGACCTGAGGAATAATGTTTTCTTATTTGGTTTGACGTGGTATGTCAGTTTTCCACTACTATTTGAAATTTGATTATCTTGAGCCTCTATATCATCATCTTTCACTTTGTAGGTCCATGTTATGCAAGTTAGTGCAGGTCCTGAATAGATTTCAGTGAATTGACCTTTTGTTCTTCTCCAAGAAAGGATTTTTCACATCTGGTGTGATGATAATAATCAATTCTCATGTCCTTCTGATATTTTTTCTTGCTTTTTAGCTTCCTTCATCTCATTCTCTCTTTACTATACCCTGCTTGTACAGCTAACAACTATTCTCCAGAATAATGGCCTCAAGATCTTATTCAAACTTATTAGACCTCACATCCACTAGCTCTCCTCCCTCGACCCGAACGAACAAAAAACTCCCTCGAGTCGCCACTGTGGCGGGTATCATGTCCGAACTCGAAGACGGAAGTCGAAGCAACAACGGCTCGGACACCACGTCATCGCGTATAATCATAGTAGCCAATCAACTCCCGCTACGCGGGTCCCGCACAGTCACAGACGACCTAAAAAAGGGCTGGGATTTCACCTGGGACGAGGACTCTCTCCTACTGCAGCTCAAAGATGGTCTTCCCGAAGACCACGTGGACGTAATCTACATCGGCTGCCTTAAAGAAGAAATCGAGCCCTCCGAACAAGATGACGTGTCACAACACCTGCTCGACAACTTCAACTGCGTCCCGGCCTTCATCCCTCCCGAACTCCTCACGAGATATTACCACGGGTTTTGCAAACAGTACCTTTGGCCTCTCTTCCATTACATGCTCCCTTTATCCCCAGACCTCGGTGGCCGATTTGACCGTCCCATGTGGCGGGCCTACCTGTCGGTGAACAAGATATTTGCAGACAAGGTCATGGAGGTAATTTCGCCCGACGAAGACTACGTTTGGGTCCACGACTACCACCTCATGGTCCTCCCGACTTTTCTAAGGAAGAGGTTTAACCGAGTCAGGCTCGGTTTTTTCCTCCACAGTCCTTTCCCTTCATCCGAGATATACCGGGCTTTACCTATTCGGGCCGAGCTTCTTCGGGCTTTACTGAACTCGGACCTCATCGGCTTCCACACGTTCGATTACGCCAGGCATTTCCTATCCTGCTGCAGCCGCATGCTCGGGGTTTCGTACCAGTCGAAACGCGGCTATATTGGGCTCGAGTATTACGGGCGTACAGTCAGCATCAAGATCCTACCTGTCGGGATTCACATGGGTCAGCTTCGATCCGTGCTCGATTTTCCCGAAACCGAGGCAAAGGTTTTGCGACTACGCGAGACTTTCGCGGGCCGCACGGTATTGCTCGGAGTTGACGACATGGATATTTTCAAGGGAATCACGCTAAAGCTCCTAGCTTTCGAGCAGCTGCTGACTCAGCATCCGGAGAAGAGGGGTAAAGTCGTCCTTATCCAGATCGCGAACCCGGCCAGAGGCCGCGGGAAGGACGTAGAGGAAATCCAGTCGGAAACTCACGCGACCGTCTCGAGAATCAACGAGGTTTTTCGCGAACCGGGCTACGAGCCCGTGATCTTGATCGAGGGCCCGCTTCACTTTTACGAGCGAATAGCTTACTACGTGGTGGCGGAGTGCTGCCTGGTGACAGCTGTCAGGGACGGGATGAACTTGATTCCGTACGAGTACGTCGTGTGCAGGCAGGGGACTGAGAAGCTAGACCAGGCTTTAGGCGTGGGCCCGACTTATATTAACAAGAAGAGCATGCTTGTAGTTTCCGAGTTTATCGGGTGCTCGCCTTCACTCAGTGGGGCCATCAGAGTCAACCCTTGGAATACGGAAGCCGTGGCCGAGGCCATGGAAACTGCCATGCTGACGCCTGAGGTCGAAAAACAGATGAGGCACGAAAAGCACTATAAGTACGTGAGCAGCCATGATGTTGCTTATTGGGCCAGAAGCTTCTTGGCGGATCTTGAGAGGGCTTGTGGGGACCATGCGAGGAGTAGGTGCTGGGGAATTGGGTTTGGGCTGGGCTTTCGCGTGGTCTCGTTGGGCCCCAGCTTCCGGAAGCTTTCTGTGGAGCATATTGGATCTGTGTATCGGAGGACTCGGAATCGGGCAATCCTGTTGGATTATGATGGGACGTTGACTTCGCGGGTTGCGGCCGATACGCGGCCTAATGGGGAGGCTGTTGAGGTATTGGATAGACTTTGTCGAGATTCGAGGAATGTGGTTTTTGTTGTGAGTGGGATGAATAAGGAGATTTTGACACAGTGGTTTGCTTCGTGTGAGAGAATGGCGATTGGGGCAGAGCATGGGTATTTTGTNTGAGAGTTAAGATGTTGTTATATAGCATGTTGATGATCCTAGCAACTTTTGTTAGATAAGCTGGATATTTTAGCACTTTGTGTATGTGTGGACTGTCTAGGAGAAGCTTTATATGAAATTGACTGTTCAGATATGTGAAATATGTGGGGTTGATTTTTAGACACTATCTTTTGATGGTGACTTGAGAAGTTCCCTACTGGCCAGTTGGTTTTTTTATCAGTTATCAATTTTGTTTTGAGCTGGGCCAATGGGTTCGACTGAAAATAGTTTCAAATACAAACTTCTTTATTCGGTAGTGACATTTGTGAAATTTTCATTTGAAATGATTTTAGGGGTCGTCCATCTGTGTGATTGGAAGCTTCCCATAACTTTGTGGCATGAAAACCAAAATTGTTTTTAGTTTTTCTGGAGTTCCTTTCAGCTAAGCATTTGCTTTAGTAAAGCCTATGGTGCCTAAAGTGAGCTAAGATAGCTTATTTTGTCTTTGATCTTCCATCAGCATTATTTTCGGACATCAATTTTGTTATTTCTATATTTCCAGAAAAGCAAAATTTGGACATGGTTGTAGCATAATTCTTCTGTTGACGAATTTGTCTTATTGTGAATTGAAGAGGATATGAGGCAAAAGGTCATATAAAGTTGGTAAAGAAACCCACAGATAGTGTTTTGGCTGGCGATTGACTAGTTTACTTTTCCATGCTATTCTGGCTTTATCTATGATAGCATATTTGGAGTTTTTTTTTTTTTGACGCAGAAATATGCTACACCTGAAAGTAACTCGTATAATCTCGGTTTCTTTTGTAATTTATATTATTAACCAAGCCCTGCTGCAGGTCCTCACTAGAAAATGTGTTGATTTTGTTCTATTACTTGCATTAGTCTTATCATCTCTGTTATCATAACATATCATGTTTTCTCTCTCTCTCTCTCTCTCTCTCTCAGGCCACAACACAGTTCAGCCTGGGAAACTTGCATTTCTGTACAAGATTTCGACTGGAAACAGATTGTCGAACCTGTAATGCAGTTATACACAGAAACAACTGACGGCTCTTTCATCGAAACCAGAGAGAGTTCACTCGTGTGGAATTACCAACTTGCAGACCCCGATTTCGGTTCATGTCAGGCTAAAGAGCTTCTCGATCACCTTGAAAGCGTCCTAGCAAACGAACCTGTCTCAGTCAAGAGTGGGCCCCACACCGTCGAAGTAAAACCTCAGGTTTGTAATTAGATTCCTTTTAACCAATCCATGCTTGAAATCCTTTTCATATGTTTATCTCATAAGCTTTGAGCAGCTTTTCAAATAAGCTCGTTGAAATCTTTAATTCAGCAAGCATATCAACTAATTTTACCACACTCTTTATCATATAAGCTAGCTTTTCAGCTATAAGCTCGAAAATCACTTATAAGCTATCAGCTAGCTTATCAACTAGTTTTAACAAACATAACCTAACTAGATTCCTTTCAATGTTCATCTCTCCCGTTTACGAGCTTTTGACATTTTTTTTGGGGGGCCCACTTTATTAGGGGGTCCACAAAGGGCTCGTGGCCCAAAGGCTTCTAGCCATGATGCGAGAAAAAGAAGTGCTTCCGGATTTCGTGCTCTGCATAGGGGATGACAGGTCAGACGAGGATATGTTTGAGGTGATAATGAGTGCAAAGGAAAATGGTTCGCTTTCTCCAGCTGTCGAGGTTTTTGCTTGCACGGTTGGGCAAAAACCGAGCAAGGCAAAGTACTACTTGGAGGATACTTGTGAGATATTAAGGATGTTTCAGGGTTTAGCTGATGCATCTGACAAGTCGGCTAAAAACAACGTCTCGTTTTCTCCACAGAACAACCTTATTGTTGTCGATAAAGTGTGAAGGCGCGTATATACGTATATGTATGTATGTGTGATGTGTGTGACTGTGTTTTAGTTTGCTGATTATAGTGTGTGATGTTTGGTGACTTGACAGTTTGCTGTTAGGCTGTCTGCTAGAGATGTGCTTGTGAGTACTGAGTATGTATGTGTGTTTCTTGTTTGAACTATATGTGACACATTGTTATAGTTTAGTTTTTGTTGAAGTGGGAAAGATTGTGGAAAGCAATAACTTGATGAACTTTCAATAAGGTGGTGTTGGCAAATGTCCAAAGAAATTAGTGCAACAAATCATACTAAAAAGTAACAAGTATATTTGTACAAGTCAGAACAATAAAACATGAAATGAAGCATGAAATGGAATATGAAATTAGAGCAGGACATCTTTTATCTTATCAAATGTGGTAAAAATTAACACAAAGATCATAAACTCATAAGTTTTATTGTTCACAAAGGATATGTAAAAGCTTCGATTGGTTGAAACATAAGCTTTATTGTTCTCATAAAAAACCCTGTATGTATTTCAACAATAAAGCTATTAGACAGAGAGACAATTTTATTTTTCTGTTAAATTTATACATAATATAACATTTTATAATATACTTATAACAAAAACTTCTATTGTTTTCAGGCATCCCTCGGACTCATAAATCGATTCTACTCTTATGGGTATTGTTCGTATGGATAGTTTTTAAAGATTATATATATGTAGAGGCCGCCAAATGCCGGTTACAAGGATTGAAACTTGCATGGTGTTAGAATATCACTTGTGAGTTGTCCCACATCGTTCATATATGAAAAATAAACCCACCTTAAAAGACTAATGGGCTACTCCTCCTTCCACCAATTGGTTTTGGGATGGAACCCCATTTGGGCTTCATATGAGTTTTTCCCTTCTTTCATGGTGTATTTCATTGTAGTGGGCCAGCACCCATTTTCCCCATTTTCCCCACTTTCTGTCACATGGTATATATATACATGCCGGTTCACTGAATAGACTGTTCACGGTTGAGACACATGGGTATATATATACATGCCGGTTCACTGAATAGACTGTTTTTCCCCACTTTCTGTCACATGGTATATATATACATGCCGTTTTCCCCACTTTCTGTCACATGGTATATATATACATGCCGGTTCACTGAATAGACTGTTCACGGTTGAGACACATGGTATATATATACATTTTTCCCCACTTTCTGTCACATGGTATATATATACATGCCGGTTCACTGAATAGACTGTTCACGGTTGAGACACATGGTATATATATACATTTTTCCCCACTTTCTGTCACATGGTATATATATACATGCCGGTTCACTGAATAGACTGTTCACGGTTGAGACACATGGTATATATATACATTTTTCCCCACTTTCTGTCACATGGTATATATATACATGCCGGTTCACTGAATAGACTGTTCACGGTTGAGACACATGGTATATATATACATTTTTCCCCACTTTCTGTCACATGGTATATATATACATGCCGGTTCACTGAATAGACTGTTCACGGTTGAGACACATGGTATATATATACATTTTTCCCCACTTTCTGTCACATGGTATATATATACATGCCGGTTCACTGAATAGACTGTTCACGGTTGAGACACATGGTATATATATACATGTCGGTTCACTGAATAGACTGTTTTTCCCCACTTTCTGTCACATGGTATATATATACATGCCGTTTTCCCCACTTTCTGTCACATGGTATATATATACATGCCGGTTCACTGAATAGACTGTTCACGGTTGAGACACATGGTATATATATACATGCCGGTTCATTGAATGGACTGTTATTCCCCACTTTCTGTCACATGGTATATATATACATGCCGGTTCACTGAATAGACTGTTCCCCACTTTCTGTCACATGGTATATATATACATGCCGGTTCACTGAATAGACTGTTCGCGGTTGAGAACATGCTCGGTTCAGGCAAACTAAAATAAATAATGATAAACAATTAAAAATAAATAAAAATTCAAATTTTAAATTAAAATTTCGGCACCTAGCCATTGGTTT